ATAAGACCAATATCAGACTCGGCTTTCGTTTTTCTATTTTATCACACCAATGCTCAGTTGTTCCGTCAGTCGGTCACACACAGTGGATTGATTATTAATTAGCAGGGTACCATCCAACCAACAGACCGTACAACATCTATTTATTCCATCCCCGCGCTCGCTCCTTTTCCCACCATCACCGACCTGCAACACCATTTCCTCTTCCCCCAAACCGCCATAGCCAAAAGCTCCCAAAACAGGGCAAAACAACAATGGGCTCCCTCCCTCCGCCACTCTCATTCCCAGATGAACAAGACAAGAACCCATCCAACCCGAAATTGGACCAAACCCATCTCCTCAATCTCTTCAAATGCCAGCAGAACTACCTCAACCATTTCTTCCAGAACCTCGACCTCACGCAAACCTTAGCCTTCACTCAAACCCTCCTAGACGCCCGGGGCACTATCTTCTTCACCGGCGTCGGCAAATCGGGGTTCGTCGCGCAGAAGATCTCCCAGACCCTCGTCTCCCTCGGCGTCAGATCCGGGTTCCTCCCCCCCGTCGACGCCCTCCATGGCGACATCGGCATTCTGTCTCCCGACGACCTGTTAGTGATGTTCAGCAAGAGCGGAAACTCGGAGGAGCTGGTGAGGCTCGTGCCGTGCGCGAGGGCGAAGGGTTCGTACCTGATATCGGTGACGTCGATGACCCCTAACGCGCTGATGAGGTCATGCGATCTGAACGTGCATTTGCCGCTGGAGCGCGAATTGTGCCCGTTCGATCTGGCGCCGGTGACGTCAACGGCCATTCAGATGGTGTTTGGGGATACGGTGGCGATCGCGCTCATGGGGGCCAGGAATCTGAGCAAGGAAGAGTATGCGGCCAACCATCCTGCTGGGAGAATTGGAAAGAGCTTGATTTTCAAGGTGGGTATTTGTTTTCTATTTTTTTTTTTTTCCTTCTTTTATTTGTTAGGCTTTGTGTTTTGGTCGTAAGTATATATTATCGTGGTTTTGTGAGAAAAATTTATGAAGAAACACTGTTGGTGGGGCGTTTAGGCTTGGATGCAGGATATATGTGAGAAGAAGAACGTAGAAGTTTCAGGCAGTGATATTTGCTACTTGAAACACAGTTTAATCGGGCTTCTTAAGTTCGAACTTTCGTATAAGTTGTACACGGTGGAATAAATTGTTCAGTGGAGATGTTGTTTTGCAAAGCTTCTTTACTAGCTGGGGAAAAAATTTAATTCGATTTTGATGTCATTTGAGTTACATGTTTTTGTTTTTTTGTTGAGTTGTGGTTTCTTATATGCTTATTTTAACTTAATGAGACTTTTCCACATCTTGAGAACTGGTCTTTTATATTTTAAAGAATGTTGAATTTTCGGTGGTTGTAGGTGAAGGATCTTATGAAGAAGAGGGGAGAGCTTCCAGTTTGTCGGGAACGAGATATGATCATGGATCAGTTGGTAGAGCTGACCAGCAAAGGGTGTGGATGCCTTCTTGTTATAGACGACGAGTATCATTTGCTTGGTACATTTACTGATGGTGATTTGAGGCGTACACTGAAAGCTAGTGGTGAGGGGATTTTCAAGCTCACAGTGGGTGAGATGTGTAACAGGTATATCTCTCTATTCACTGCCTCTTTCTGTTGCTGAGATTACAGAAATTAACATCTTTTTTGTTGAGAAGATGAAATGAAGACAAGTTCATGTTAAGATTACACTTGTTTTAACTTTGTTCTATTCATTATGTGTTTATAGGAATTCTTTCCTTTCCTTGACTAAGAACAATTGATAACTAAGCTATAAATCCGCATAAACGCTATGTAATACAATTAATTGTACTTTGACTCTGTTAATTGAGCTTCTTTGTGATACCTCAAAGAGTTGGAGAACTATGTGACTACTCTTTGTACTTGGAACAAAGAAGAATTTTGGCTCAAAGCTGGACTGACATATTGCGTTAGCCTAAGGATATTGGATTCTGTTAATTGAGATCTGCAAGCTCCATACATGTTAGCAAATTGCCGTGTGTTTTCTGCAAATTCCTATATTTGTTCCTTCTTTCGTTTTTTTACCTTTCAATTTTTTACTGGGTTTATGCTGATGGTATCTAATATAAGTTCCTATACGCTCATATTTATTGTTTTCATTCTGCTGGTATGGACACAAGGATGCAAAACCTTTTTATACCGTACATGTCTTGTTTTTATGAAGTATATATTGAGAAATATGATCATTCAACTTGGTATCCCTAACCTTATATCTTGTAAAAAAGTTCCTGTTATAAACTGGTTTCCTACAGCTAATAGTTTCACTGTTAAAATTAAAGATTGTTGAAACAATATTTATAACTACTCCCCAATCAACCTAATGACTTAGTTTGTGCCACATGTGAAGCTTTTTTATTTTTCTTTATTCATATTTTCCTTCATGTGTGATAGTTGACCTAAATTTGTCTGGTGAAAGTTCAGATGTGAATCCACTCATGGCATTGCTAAATTTGATGGACCGAGTTTCTTGTGTGCAAACAAAAACAAGCACTTGTTGTTTGTAGGCAAAACTGGGAATATTTTGTGATTTTTTTGTTCACAACCCAAAAATTATTCCTTCCCAACCCACTTCTCGATTTGATTAGGCAAAACCCTCATGTGTAGTGTTTTTAAATTATACCATCTGTGATCTATATCGCCCCCTCACCCAAGAAAATTGATTTTGAGTATATATTAGCTGTGTGATCATAATCATCCATCCTTGGCAGTCATGATCATCTGTTATTTGCTTGTCTTTTATGGAGAAAAGTCAAAAATACATTTGAAACCTTTTTCTTTTTGTTTATTTTTTCAGGAACCCAAGGACAATAAGTCCCGATGCAATGGCAGTTGAAGCTATGCAAAAGATGGAGTCCCCACCATCTCCCGTTCAGTTCTTACCCGTCATTAATGACCAAAATGTCCTCATTGGCATCGTGACATTGCATGGCTTGGTCTCTGCTGGCCTGTGATTTGCTTTTGTGGCTGTCGAACGTGCCCAATATCTTTTTACTTCGATGATATTCGAAAATAATTCTTTGTATTATTTCCAGCTTATACTTAATGAAGTTGTGTAGTGTTCTCTAGATAATACTTTTTCCTGTATTAGTGAGAATATTACGAGAAGAATTGGCTTGATTATGTTCTCTGTACTTGGTAGTTCCACTGAAACTTGGAAGATTATTATGTTCTTGTATCAGTGCCTGTGAAGTTTTAGCTGCAGTTGTGCAGAAATATGATTATGAATGCTCTTTGTGCTACTAATTAGCCAACCCAAAATATGGGTGGATTTCGTAACTCGGGTTAATTGCAATGTTGGTCCTCTGGAAAACAAAGTATGGCATACTAGTCCCCTATGTTGTTATGGTGTGTAGTTCATCTAGTTGTGGGAGCTAACTTGTGTTGAGGTTGACACAGATTGTGGTGTGAAATTCATCTCATATTGAAATTTTGATAATTTTTTGTTAGTTAATTTTTTAGTAGTTAGCTGTCATGACTATTAGATTATCATACATTTCCAATAAATATTGCCAAATTAAAATGCTTATGGACCACATAACATTTGTATTTTCTTAATATAGCTGACACAATAATTTGTATTTTCTCAACATGTTTCAAAATAATTTTTTTTTAAATATTTTTTTACTATTAATTCATGTTTAATTTTTCATCCCTTGATGCATGATGTATCAAATTATCTTTTTATTTTCACAATTTACAAATAAATACTCTTATTGAAAATTAAAAAAAATGGTATTACTTATTGCCAATTAAAAACTACTTATTGTTATTAGTATCTGTTGGAATTACTTAATTATTATTATTTTTTAAAGAAAAATATTTAAGATTTATTTTTTCACAATTACCCATTAATTTTATTTATAGATTATTTTGACAATGGATGAGTAAAATATTTTTGGCCTGCATAAACGAAGCACAAATTAATTTCAAAGATTTTAATATTTAGCCCCTTTTGCCTTCTGCCACACACTGAAATGACTCTGGTTTAGCTGAAAGCGCCGCCCATAGTCACCCATGCCTCCGCCGTCAATCGCCGCCGCTCCACCAATTGCCACCGCGCCGGCACTCTATTCTCTCACTCCTATTAAAAAGATACCATTTTTTCACCACCACCACCACCACTCACTTTCTTCTCCACCTCTCAATTTTTCGGTGAGTACTTCGAATTCTTGAATTTCAGCCCCAAATGCAGCTCAATTATTACTAATATAGAAAATTATCTTGTTTCTTTCTTTTTATTTTTTCCAGATTTTGTGGAACTCAAGTAGGAGTAAGCTTACTCATGGCCCAGCTTCAAGAATTTTGTTAAGCCGTCCTCTTGCTATAATCTCGAGACATTTCTATGGTAGTTATAAGAAATGCTCTTAAGAGTTTTTATAACACAAATGGCATATGAAACAAGATTTTTTTTGTCCTTGAGTGTTTCTTTGTGGTTGCTAGAGGGGAAAGGAAGCAATGCGTTTGATCCAGAGCTTAGATCAGTGCTTGAGCTTGCCACTGATTCTGAATTGTATGAACTTGAAAGAATTTTATTTGGTCCGAGGTATTTTTTGAATATTTGCAGCAACTATTTGCTCTAGAGGTAGCTGGACAATTGGAGATTTTTATTTATTTATTTTCCGTGCTGCATTAGTTCTCTCTGGTATGTCTATGATTTCAGTTACTTCAGTCCACTATTGAAATCAATCTTGAGAAGTGATGGTGATGATGGTATTATGATTGGAGAAGACCCAAATGAAAGGGAAGATTTTATCACGAGGCTCGAATCTCGGTTCTTGTTTCTGGCAGCTGATGCAAGATCAACACTGAGGTGATTGAGGGATTCTCTTAGTTACCCACTTAAATGATAAAAGTCTTTTATGCTAGTTTTCCGAAAAAACCTGCTAGTGGAGAAAGACCTCTGTAACGTGTGGTACAATGTTAGGATCTTTGGCTAATTGGCTTGCTATTTTGAAGTATGTATACAAGTCAGAAAAAAGGGAACATCTTTTCATGCTTTAATTCTGGAATATATTTTCTTCAAACATATAAATGAACATTGCGTACTCGGCTTTTTCTTTTTAAATCATCACCATGAATGAAGTTTGGCCCAGGGAGAACCTTTTACGATAGTTGTGTTCTTGTTGTGTACTAGTCAGCAGCAATGTAGTGGCTCAGGTTGTTTAGACTGAATTTTGGAACATACACTAATTCAAACCTTAAGTTAGCTGAACTTTATCTTTCTTATAAACTTACAAAATCTTAGCATGTATGGTTTTAGAGCGAAAAATCAAACGATTTTTTCTGTTTACTGTTGTTATTCCAGGGGCTGGAGACCATCTTATAGAAAAGTATTGCTTGCGGTTAGGAAACAACTTAAGATACCTTGCTCGAAAGATCTCTCGGCAGAAGACTTAGAAGTGGAGATTTTTCTGCATCTTTTGCAAGAATACTCGAGGTAAAACTGTGTAAAAGTGTGCATATGTGTGGGTGAGTGTGTGTATATGTGTGTATATTTTCTTGTTTTGCTTTGACACTACTTAATGTAGGCAAGATGTCTTGATTGGATATCTCGATTTTTACAATTTACATGTTATTACTTTCCACAGTGAAGAACCCAGTAATTTTTCAAGCTCCAATGGTGGCTCAAACAATGGCGACGAGCCTAATGACCTAGAATTAGGCCTCAGCCTTTGGAAGGTGCAAAAGCTTGCAGCTTTAGGGATTGGAGCAACAGAGCTCAGATCAATAATAATGAAGGTGAATTGTTTATTTACTTATTTTCTTTTCTATTTCCATCCACTGTGTTCCCTCTTACGCTTCCTTCCCATCACTCTATTTATTAACAAACATAATCTTTCTACAATAGGGTGGTGGAATGCTTACACTGGAAAAGCTGATGGAATTGGTAAAAGACTAGCACGAGCTTTAATAAAAAATAAAAATAAAAACAAAAAAGAAATTGTTTTGGTTTGCGAAATCCTTTTCGATCTTGGAGTTGTTGCAGGTGGGAGGGAGATTATCGACGAAGATGCTTTCGGAAGCTGCCAAATATCGGATAAAAAAAGAAGCCATTAATAAGGTTCTTGATGAGGCACTAAATGGATTTAGAATGTCGTGCTCATAAACTTTAACATGAAGATGTAGCTGTGCATGGCGTTTAAGATTTAGCTAATGTTGCTCCCTGTATTTTGGTTTTGTAGGGTGGAAAGTTGGCGGCTATTCACCTGGAATCTGCTATGGGTTTGCTGGCTGCTAGACAGGTGAAAAATGATGAAAATACATTTCAGATGTAACCTGAAGGAGCTTTTGAAGATACCAGAATTTTAATTTTTTTTAGTTATAATTTTTCCAAACATCAAGGATAGATTTTCACTATTCCTTAATGTTTCCTGTAGAACTACATCTAGGTCAGTATATCTCTCCTGCAAAAGATTTTCATTCGTTAGGATATGTACAAAAGCACCAGTGAAGTTTAGCTCCATTTCAAAAGACCTCAGCTATCTTTAAAAATGAGAAATCCCCCATTGATATTTTCTTGTATTTTCTAAATTGTACCCTTACTAGTTGGATATTCGTGAAGAAAATGTGAACCTTGAGAGGTGTATTCAAGGGAATTTATGTCTTTTCAATGATAATTGGAATCTTCTGTGATTAGTTCAAAATTCATGGGTAGTTTTCTGCAATTGTTATCCTTGAAAATGCTTGTGAAATTTCAAATCCGTTGTTCCTTAACTTCCTTCGATTTCTCCCATTGATCTCTACGAGTTCACTAAATTAGTAATGCCCTATTACAAAATAATACTGAGTTAGGCCATGAGAAAAGAAGCTTTTAATGTACTATATATAAATTCATTTCATTCTGAGCAATATTTTTGGTGTGGTTTTAGAGAATAGTTAGTTCAATACGGTTCTTTCAGCTGCCAAATATCACAAATGTTTTCATGTCATTCATAATTGACAGGGTCTAAAAGCTGCAGCTACTCGATATCTGGGGCTTAGGAGTGTGACTCAGTTACTTGGTCCAATGTAAGGACTCCTTTAAATCTCTTACCATATAAAGTTAAATAAAAATACTTGCAAAAAAAAAAATAAAAAAAAAATAAGAAAGCAAAAATTACATATACCCCTTGATATTAAATTATATTTTACAGAGAGAACATGGGATTCCCTTTTAGATACTTATGACCTATGGGATAATTTATATGACGAATACAAATTAGCTTAAATTATAGTCGATCATCTGAGTATTTATGTAATTAAAGCTTAATTTAGCTTTTATAGTTATCAGGAAATGCAAATCAACCATGCTAAAAATCTCGTCTTTTGTGTAGAGTGTGGGGTACTTTACTGGCTGATGTTGTTATTCAAATGCTCGGCACTGATTATGCTCGGATATTGAGAGCCATTTATGCATTTGCTCAGGTATGGAACTATATTCATTAAAGTTACAATCGATCTTTTGTAAAGTTCGCCACTTTATTTATTTTGGTAGAAAAAGTTGGTGAATTATGCATGTAGGAAATAGTCCCCATCCTCGACTGATCACTTCTCGGATTTTTCAAGTCACTTTTTTTTCTGAAAAGTAATATTTTTCAAGCTCAGTTTCCTAGTTTATTTGAAGCTTAGAAATAACAGAAACCACCCAATAAGGTTTATCTTCGTTAGAAAAGGCGCTAATTCGAATTAACTAATAACCCTCCGAAATTTTATACCGAAATTTAGCTAAATTAAGCACAGAACGTGTATCTTTCTATAACGGCTCGACTCTTTTTGTTTCAGATTCGAATCTACCGCTCGTACAAAACGGCATCCGAGGTTATGTGAGATTTTGTTGGAGTTTATGATGTTTTGATCTTTCTGGTGTTTCTGTAAAAATGTCATCACTTTTTTAACTCTTACAAAATCTCCAAGTGGTAAAGGTTTTTGTTTGGTAGTAATTGATTGGTGATTTAGGGTTGCACAAAGTGTTTCATCACACTTTGAAATGGAAATTTCTTTGAACTTCACATGTAATTGTGCATAACTTTCTTTATGTTATTAAATTAAATTGTTTAGTGTACATGTTGTGCACTTGTTCATTGTTGTAATATATTATATTTTATATTTTACTCTAAATTCAGTTTTGTAGCCGCTCGTGAGATAAGATGAACTGAGATTGAGCTCGGTTAAGGCTCGTTTAGTTAAAAAGACTAGCTCGACTCAGCTCGTGCGTGAAAATAAGAGTTTTTGCATAATTTAAGCCGTTAAGACTCGTTACCGATCTGAGTTAAAGCTCTTTATAAAAAGAAGTTTGTTTTTTTCTCTTCAAACTATTGATCTCTATTTGGAAGACAAGGAACCATTGGGTATTCAGAAAAACCTGGAGAAATGCAAAAGCAACTGTGGACGCAGCTATTAGAGACTGGATTGAATTCAGCAATCCACTGCCTTCTTAGACTTCTGGATATTTATTTATTTTATTTCTGCTTAGATTCAGTTTATTCTTGTGTTTTCCTTGTTTTGTAAAAGCCTACTAGGCCCTCTGGTGCAGTGGTATGACTTTTATCTTTTGAAGAGCCTTGTATATTGCTTTTGTTAGGCCCTGATATGAAGTCACAAACTGTTGGTTCCAGCTCTTTAAGACTGCCAAAGTTTGATCTTCATATTGGTTTTTTTTGGTCACCTTTTGGTGCTTTAGTTATCCCTATGGGATCCTTTATCCGGGCTAGTTAGCCTCCGATTTGTATCAGGACTTTTATTTGAGTAATATACTTCTATCGTTTCGAGAAAAAAANCTATTGGGTTGTATTAGTTATTTCTATTCTGGGGCATAATAGATAAGCACCTTGTTGCTATCTTCTTTATTTAATTATTTTAATTATTGTATCCTTATTAAAAAAATTATTGTCCTTGCCAATCTCATCACCACATGTCTTCAACTTGTATATATTTGTACATTTACCAAACTTAAAGACCATGTGATGTGGTCCTGAAATTTTATATGATCTGAAATATATAAATAAAATAATTGGATGACAACAACTTTAATAGTAAGATATAATTACCACTCTACCTTTATTTACACAGTCAAATAATATGTGAGCAAGTTCAATAACAAATCATTTTCTCCTTTATTTACAGTTGATTCATTCAAAAAGGAAATATTTAAATTAAGTGGAGTAGAAAAATGTGGCAGACAAACTAGACTATAAAAAATGTCATGATAAACTATATATTATATATTATTCTTAAATAAATCAAATGGAAAAATTGACCTACAGTGAATTTAAAGTAAAATAATCAGATCAGCTACACGTGAATCGTGATGTGCCGCCAATTGAAAGTCTATATTACGTCATCCGTGCGCCATAGGCCCATAACCACATTCGTTGCTTCAAAAGGATATAAACTGGTAAAGAGTAAAAAGGGTAAAGAAATATTTGCTCGAAACACCTCACCCAAAAAAATTAGAAAATTTGGAGAGTGTAGTGCTCATTCCTATTTTTTTTCTTTAATTGAAAATTACATAAATTAAAATATCATTAATTATTTATATTAAAAAAATAAAATAAAAATATCAAAATTCATAATTTTTTATTATCTATAAATAGAGACCACATTTGATAGGTTTTTAATACAATTAATTTTTCGTTTTTTCGTAATTATTTTATTATACTGACATATAATGAACATGTTACAGATTGCAGATTGAAATAATACATATTCATCTTATTTTATAACATATTCATCTCATTTTGGTAACATATTCATCTTATTTTATAACATGTTCGCCTTATTGTGTATGTAACATGTTCGTCTTATTCTATAACATGTTCATTTTATTATGTAACATGTTCATCTTATTCTATAACATGTTCATTTTGTTATGTAACATGTTCATCTTATTCTATAACATGTTCATTTTATTGTGTAACATGTTCATCTTATTCTATAACATGTTCATTTTATTATGTAACATGTTCATCTTATTATATAACATGTTCATTTTATTATGTAACATGTTCATCTTATTTTAGAACATGTTCATCTAAATTTCATCTGTGAAAATGTAACATTTTCATCTTATTCTATGACATGTTCATCTTACTCTATAACATGTTCATCTATCTTACTATGTAATATATTCATCTAATTATAGATTTGCAACATAATCTTCCAATAAGATAAATTAATTGTAAAAAATGATAAATTAATTGTGTTCCAAAAAATATCAAATGTTGTCTCTATCTGTAGAGAATGAAAAAATTATGAACTTTAGTATTTTTATTTTTATTTTTGATACAAAATATGAATGATAATTTAATTTATATAATATGATATATAAAATTCATTACCCAATAGAAATGAACACATGTTCCATTTAAAAAAAAAAAATACTCTACCTCCTTACCTCACGCGTTTTTTAAGGAAAGGTGTGCCCATTTGCGGGAAATACAGACTCAGTTGTTATTAGAAACGTGGAGGGCAAATCGTCACGTGTCTGTTACTCTATCGGTGCTCCGTCAATGACACTTGCGAAGGGAATTTAGTATTTTCCACGTTTAACGCCACGTGGCAGCACTGGCCTCAGATTAAGGCAACCTGCTGGCTCACGTGGGCTACAGTTTGCCCACTATTGACTGGTTCTACCGGTTACCGGGTTATAGCGAGGACCCCACCTGCGAATTTCACATTCTAAAAATATTTATATTTGGTCCACATAATCTATTCTCCACCTCAAAATTGTATTTTTTAATCTTTTTTAAATTGTATTTTTTAATCTTTTTAACCTTACTGTTTTCCATTTGTTAGGTCCATGTGGTTATTTTTCTATCAGCCCAATTTTATTTTCAATTAGTGGAAATTTGAATTTTAAGAATTCATAGATTATATTGTGGAATTTAGATACGTGTCTAATTTGAATCACTAATTATAGGGTTATTTGGAATAATGGATAGCGAATAGTCCATAGCTGTTTTGTTTAACTCATGATGAATTATTGATTGTATTAGCTGAAAGCGAATATTTGATTGAAATATTAGCTTTGATCAACTAATCAAAATTGCGGATCATGCAAAATATTTGATAAATAGTCCGTTATTTGATATGTAAAAAAATCAAAATCATAATCCAATCATCAATTTCAAGAAGCTCCTATATATAATTTTTTTAAAATTATTGTTTTAGTTCCAAAAAGTTTATTTCAAATTGTTTCTTAATAAACATATTAAACTTCTAATTAATTCTCACATCTTCAATGTAGCTCTAAAAGGCTACTTACCAAGCAACACCAAAGAAATTTTTACTAGTACGACAGTCGTGTGTTACACAAGTGTTTGAAAAAAAATCTATATATAATAAAAAATGAGTAAATAATTTTAAAACAAATAATGAATAACTAGTAGAGTGTAACTATTTAAAATAACATACATTTTTACCCTTAAATTATTAAAAAAATATTATTTTAATTACATTTATAAAATTATATACGTCCAACACGAATAGTATTTGCAAGTATGCTAAGTTGATTTTAATTTATTTTTTTTCTTGTATGTGTTCTTAAGAAAAGGAATCTGTCCATTTGTCGGGGTCTCAATGGGGCGTGGAAACAATAAGAACTCTTGAATGCAAAAAGGAATCAGAAAGGTCCTTTTCAAGTTTGAATTTGTGAATTTGAGTTCTTCTACTTCATTTTTATTTAATCTAAATTTCTTTTTCCATTTCTTTTTTTTTTATATCATTTAAAAATATTTTCAAACATGATTTTATGTTATATAGATGTAAAATCGACGACCATCAAAAGATAGTTAATTTAATAAATCGTGTATGAGAAATGGAATATAAATTAAAAAACAAGTTTCAACTTTTAAGATATGATAAAATTGAACATGATATTTTTTAATAAATGAAATAAATGAGGATCAAGAATATCAATCGTGTGTTAAAATTATATTTGAATGTTGAGATTGGATTTGAGAAAGAAAATTTTGAAATAAATAAATAAATAAATGCATACTTATTAAAATTGTAAATAAATTATTTATGCTAAATACCAAATTTGATTGCAGAGCAATAATGTTTCTATCAACTAAATTACGAAACACTTAATTTTGGTACGTCATCATTCAAAGCTTGCGAGTCTGTCATTTAAGTTCTAACACACTTTGAATTAATATATATGTGGATATCACTGGCATGATTAGTATAAAACTATTTGAAAATATATAATGGGTAAAGTCCACTTTTCGTCCTCCATGTTTAGGGGGTATCCAGACTGAGTCCCTATTATGTTTTGGTGTCCAATTTTAGTCCTTAAAACAAAAAAATGAGTCCCTATTATGTTTTGGTGCCCAATTTTAGTCCTTAAAACAAAAAAAATGGGTCCCTATTATGTTTTGGTGCCCAATTTTAATCCTTAAAACAAAAAATGAATCCCTATTATGTTTTGGTGCCCAATTTTAGTCAAAAAAAAAATGTAGTCTCTTTACCTCAATTTCTTTGAATTAACGGTCCATTTTTGCTCGACTGTGATGTTCTTTATTTTTTTAAAATTTGTTGATTAATGTCAACTTTGACCAAAGAAAAATAAAAGAAAATTTAAATGCTGAAAATATATTAATAAAAAATTAAACTAAAACAAGAAATTGCACTAAATTAAATTAAAATTTTTGCTCGTCTGATTTCTATTTCCTAGCATTCGCGCTGCGGAGCAAGCCTGGAATCACAGCTAATGCTCTTGCACCCATTTTCGGGTCATGCCATCGAAAAAAATTACACCTATCAACCCTCTGTTTTTTAACCATTTCTTATCATATTCCAATTGAAGTTCACGGAAAGTACTTACAGGATATAGAGGGCAACTCAAGAATCTTCTCCCGAGATTATCATCCTTCCAGCATGTAGTCAACTTTGCAACCAGCTCACATCTACAAAATACCACACCATTTCCATCCATTTGATCGGATTTAGGCGGTTAGGGTTTTTTTTTTACGTTTCACTGCAGTTCACTATTTCTGCCTTTTATTTTACCTTTTCAGCATTTAAATTTTCTTTTATTTTTCTTTGGTCAAAGTTGACATTAGTCAACAAATTTTAAAAAAATAAAGAACATAACGGTCGAGCAAAAATAGACCGTTAATTCACATAAATTGAGGTAAAGGGACTGCATTTTTTTGTTTTAAGAACTAAAATTGAGCATCAAAACATAATAGGGATTAAGTCTGGATACCCCTAAACATGGAGGACTAAAAGTGGATTTTTCCCAATTATAGGAACTACATTTTTTTGTTTTAAGGACTAAAATTGGGCACCAAAACATAATAGGGACTCAGTCTAGATACCCCTAAACATGGAGGACCAAAAGTGGACCTTCCCCATATATAATAGTGTTTATCAAATGATTAGATCCCGTTAGGATAATTCAAATTATCAATGATAAGTAATAAAGTATAAGCTATTGGTGATTGTCATTGTGGAGTATTAACCCATGTGTTCGGTAAGTTTCAGTAATTTTAACAATTTTCCAAGCCTTAATATAATAAATAATAGCATTGTCTACTCAGACGCGGACTCCATTTTTCACTATAGACTATAGACTATGGTTAAAACAATAACTTGGGTATTAGCGGATTGATGTATAATTAGCAACCTCATTTAGAGAGTTTATTCATCAAATTCGTTAATTAACTTATTTGATAAAAAAATTATTTGATTAGCCTTTTAGGCTCAAATGCTAATCTTGAAAAAGCTTACTATAAACTCGTTTTATTGGAATTTTACAAGAATTAGTTTGATCATTAGATGAGATTTAGACAAGATCATCCATAAGTGAACAACTAAATTCTTAATTAACTGCATGCTTAAGATTAGTACTCTGTTCCCCACATGCGATGGGAGAATATTAGGGTAGCATTTATAATCATTGTTTAATGTTTATTTTTTCTAGAAATTTTATTTTAATATAGTAGTAAAGAGTAAATATTATCTCGTGGAAGGAATAAGTTTCACATGTTTGCTTGATTACAGCTAATCTAACTTTGAACTTGTTATGCCATGTCACAATCAATTGTGAATCTTATAAATTAATTACTGAACAAAAACGAGAATGTGTATAAAATTCATTTATATATTGATGTCAACCAATTAGAAATTCGTCATTATATATGTTAAGTCAACAAATTAAATACACCCCATTGCATTTTAGTATATATTTTTTCAAATTCATCACTATATAATATTGTGGAGTTTCTTGAGGTTCAGTATCGATTGTGATAAACCATCTGGTTGGCTCGAGAGTGAGTTTCGTTTGAGCATTGAAATGATGAATTCTTGGATGGTGCACTTAGAGGTTGACCATAATTTAAATTTTTGGAATATCTATATATATATCTATATATATATATATATATATATATATAATTGCTAGCAAAAGCAATTAATAAAAATTTTGATTTTCTTCCAAAAGACGTTACAAATTTATATTAATATTTTTTTATTTATTTGTTTATATATAGGGACAAAAAATAATAACATCTTTCCACTCTTTTTTCATTTCAGTTATATATGGAAATTGATCGTTACTTTTTTGTTAATTAATTGCAATGATATTTTTTTAACTCTTTATCACATAATATTTACTACTAATACTAACCAATAATAATTCATTTATTTTCTTTCTTTTTTTTAAAAAAATTTTAAAATTAATATCATCATTTTATTTTTATCTCACTAAACAAATTTTTTAATAGCTAATTGATTTAATGGAATAACAAAATCTTTAAAACTAAATAATAATTTCAATAATAATAATAATAATAATAACAATTCATTTATTTTTTTCAACCAACTAACTGGTATGGACCCGTAATTTTTGAAGTACATTATTCATTATATTTTGCCATAAAATATTTTATTTGTATCTGTGCATGTGCACATGCTTGATTACTAGTCTCAGTTTATAGTTAGGGTTTCCAAGTGATCACTTTAACCATGCTCGAGCTAGCAGGAAGAATATATATAGGATGAGTAAAATACTATCGACCTATAAGGACATGGGGGTTTTCAAATGACTTTAACCATGCTTGAGCTAGCAGGAAGAATATATATAGGATGAGAAGATTATCGACCTATAAGGGCATGGGGTTTTGGATGATAAGAGGCTCCTTAAAAAAAGAATATTTAAATAAAAGTATATAACAATGTAAAGAACCCTACACATATCTTATAAATAACTCACTCAAAGTTGCTTCTAATGAATGTAAATTAACTTGAGTGTCGAAGTGTTACCCCAAGAGCCTCTTCTGATGCTTTGTAAATCTTTGAAGTCGGTTCGCAAGCAAAAAGGTGGGTTTGTTGTGTAAAACACATTACTTTGTGTCTTATTTTTTTTATTCGTAATCCTTTGAATCATTCTTTTTTTATTGTTAATGCAGTTCATGCAAATTTTGCAATGCTATGTCATTTTTCTGTGATTCATAATCACACATATCATTTATGTTTTTAGTAGTCCATGCAAATTTTAGTGTTTATATAAGAGCATCTTCAGTGATTTGTAACTTGCTCTATTCCATTGGCAAGTAGCCCCAAAAATCTAATGTGGCATTTAAAATTTCTAGAAGTCTTTCTAGATGCAGAAACACTTCTAGACATCTTCTATTATTAGTATATTGTTGATATCAAGATAGAATATCTTGAAATAATGGTTAGATTAAAAGAATCGTGAAGTCTAAATCACGGATTGGATCTTGGGCGATGTAAAACAGAATATACGGCACCTCGAAAATATCATCTCGGTACTTACACGACGTTCTTATATGATGCTGTGAATAATACAGCATATCTCCAAAGGTCGTCAGCACAAGTCGTTTTTACCTCGAAAAGACCATCTCGGTTGAAAGAACAACTTATCAGGAAGTCGTAGAAGACTGAAAGTTTATCAAAATACCGACGTTACAAAACGAGCCGACTTCAATCCGACAGATGTGACGCTTGTCACACATATAGAGGCGCGCCCATGCTCATCATTGTCTAAAAAGCTCGTCTACGTCATCGTCGCCCCTAAACTATCAAATCTCCATTAAAACGAAGCTGATTTGCCTTGGGATGTGTGCCAAACATAACTATAAATAGCAACTTCGAAAACAATACGAGGATTCGGCAAATCTGATAAACACATATATACTGAACTCGGTTTCTTCTTTGTTTACCAACTTGTTGAACATTAAAAAACCGACTTCTAAATTCTGTAACCGACTTCAAGAATTTCAATCGAAATCTCATTTTCTGCAATCTTTATTGTGATTTTTACTTTAATTACGTTGATTAAATCCGTTTATCAACATATATTATTTATTTTATATTTCTCTCTCCACCAACTAATTATTATCTTACACATCTCAACTTATTATATAAATGACATTAACCGTTGTAGACAAAATATTTTTATGTCTTTTCTCCACAACATACATATCAAAATAGACATTTAATCATTGGAAACAAAATATCTTTATCAAAATAGACATTGTGCCCCAACATACATATCAAAATAAAATATATATTTTTAATTAATGAAGACAAATAAATATCATATATATTGCACCCTAATACCCCCATTCCTTTATTTAATTATCATTGTTCAAATCCAATTTCTCTCTCTCTCTCTCTCTCTCTCATCATTCACGAGCAAACCAGCAAAAATATTCAACAATCAAGGCTGCGCCAGTTTGCTAACAATCCAGGTTTTTATTTCATGTTCTTCTCCCTTTTCTCTGTTCTGGGTCTGTTATTACATTCATATTGAAGGAAATAAAACAGCTGCATAGTTGAATTTCTGTTGTTCGCTTCTCAAAGACTTTGATTTTTTTTTTTCTTGCCCTTCTGAATAAATATTCAATTTTTCATTCCCGAGTATTTGTTTGTGGGGTGGGTCTCCTTTTTCTCTTTTCAGGGTCTCCTATTATATGCATATTGAAGAAAAAAACAGCTCCATAGCTGGATTTCTGCTGTTCGCCTCTCACAGACTTGATTTTCGATTTTTCACTTTTTTTTTTTGAATACTTGTCGGGTCTCTCGTTTCTCTTTTCTGGGTCCCTTATTACATGCATATTGAAGGAAAAAACAGCTACATAGTTGGATTTCTGTTGTTCGCTTCTCAAAGAATTCACCTTTTTTTACCCGTACTGAAGAAATATTCGATTTTTTCACCTTTTTTTCTTGAATAATTGTGGGATTGAGGATGGAGAGAGATTTTCTGAGCTTGGGTTTAAAGCAAGAGACTTTTGAACAGACGACTGATGCTGGTAATTTTATTGTTTATTTATTTTTACTGTAAATGTTTTACATAAAAGAATTTTGTTGCAACAAAGCGAGGAGCTTCTCATACATCCTTATCCTGCACGTTTGTAAAGCTTTTTTTTTTTTCGCCCCATGAAGTGATTTACTATGGCAGAATTAGAAGTAGATGTGAAGAAGAATTTGTTAGATCTTGCTAATAAAAATGTAAACCCAGAAAAAGAAATCAAAATTGAGGTGTGTATAACTGTATATTGAAGTAACTTGAAAATTATTATTATTATTATTATTATTATTTTTGTTTTGGTTAAATTTAAAAAATGAAGTGGTTTTCTTAAGTCCGGAACCTCAATCTAGCATTTTAGTGGAAGTATTTATTATTCATAACACCAGCTGTCAAGTGCAGCTTAAGTGCATATGCTCCTATTTAAAAATGGTCATGTTGCATTTAGATACTATGTTATTATTAGTTTAATACATGATGAATTAGGTAGATTGTTCATGTTTTGTGAGAATTATTCAAATGGGTGTGGAAATAATTTATGCTTATTGGTTGTTGTGTTGATTATTTAAATGTCATGATTATTCATCCACTTGAATTTTATGTACCCTTGATATTTCTTGTGATATTGGACTGTGCAATGTGCACCCTACAAGATTTCATTGGTTAGAACGTGTTATCTAAAAAACAATTGTTTTTCCTTTGTCAAAAACTTTCTTGTGGCAGTCTCATTGTCATTGTTCAAAGATATATATGCATTTCACACACACACACACACACAGATATGTATATGGTAAAACATCTGTTATCAATGGAAGTAATAAAAATAGTAACTTATGTTTTGAAGAAAATAAAGTTTCTACTAATGCCCATCCTGTCACATACTATTTTTAATATATATGAATTGTGCCCTTCAAGGTGACTCTGGTGACTAGCCGACACATAATTTTTTAATAGTTATGTATCTATTATTTGTTTATTTTCCTCCAAATAAGGTGAATGAGTTAAATAAGGATGTCTAAAATATTCCAAATTGTCCATTCCTATATTTAAATTGTATTGACTAGATGGGGTTTTCCATATTATTTAGTCGTTTGCATTGATGTCTAGACAAGAACCATAGTTTATGTCATAAATCTCCATAAATTCTTATCATTGTGTTTTTTTAAGTTGATCAACATGTTCACACTCTTTTACAAGCTGCCTTTTGACTTGTTTAATCAGAAACCTCCCGTGAACGAAACTGTAGTGGGCATAAAATACTAAACTATGTCTGCCAGTTTTTGTGATCTTTTATTCAAAACTAAACTTTACCAAATTTCTGCCTAGTTGTTAATCATTAGGTAATTAACCTTTCAATGAGCTCTTTTGAAAAATGAAAAGAAAGAAAGAAAGATGTGAGAAAATGGAATATTAAGAAATTTCTTGGCAATATGTAGCTGTTATTACTAAGCTCCTTTTTTCATTTCCATTTTTTTTTTGATATGTTTTAGCTCCAGCAAGAAATTCTCCAATGCAGTGGCCATTTTCAAAGATGGGTGGTTCATCTATTTTATCTTTCTGCGGCGTTCAAGAGGAGAGAAGGACGATTGACATAAATTCTCGTGCATCAAATCTTTCTCCGGCCATGAAATGTACAGAGGCTTTCGACTCTGCACAGGTTAGTAATAACTAATAATTTTCTTCTCTGTCTTTTGCCCTTTACCCGTGGAAGAGAACTAATAATTTCCCCTATTCCAAATATTGTAACGAAGCAGCTTTCATAGTTCAAAATGTTTTATTTCTCTCCTCATTGGAGTTTTTTTTTAATCCTAATCTATGAGTGATTATTATTTCGGAAGAAAACGTCTAAGCTTGATATGTAGTACCCGTGATTATTACTTATTATGCAACTCTTTATTACTTATATTTATATCTTGATCGGAATTTTTTGTTTTGCTCAGAAAAACATTTTTGGTGAAAATCAAGGTGGAGTTCGGTACACAATGTCAACCTATCCAGCAATGCACCATGACTCGTATGCCTTGCATCGTCCAGTCACCAATCAAACGAGCCTGATGATGTCACCTGCCTCAACAACTTCTAGTTACCAGTCAGTCATTGCTACTTCCAGGCAGAACCTGATTAACTCGCAGCCTCTTTCAGTAACTCCATTGACGAACACTGTGCCTTCTAACAGCCCTGTTGTGGGGACCACAGATTTGAGGTATGGTAATAGAAAGAGAATGTAATAAATGAGTTTTTCCCAGGAAAAGAACAATTATAAGATGGAATAAAGCTGTATTCTTTTTTTTTTTTTTCAGGAATGCTACGAGTTCTGGGGCTCAGTTGACCATCTTTTACAATGGATCAGTGTGTGTCTATGACAATATCGCTCCCGAGAAGGTAAGCATGAATGACCACTCAAAAGTCGAATCAGTGAAAATTTGTATAAAGTGATTTATTGGCGTAATAATGTCAAACTAGAATAAGAATCAGAAATATTTTAAAGGCTGTGATTGGGTACTTTTTTCATTATAAAGATTTTTTTGATTTTGTTGACATGATATTTGGAGATAATAATATTTAGAGAAGGGAAACGAAACTAAGAGAGTGACTTGATATGAGATGAAAATGATGATGAAAGTATTGTGAATAGTGAAATTACCAATCACTTTTATCTTATTAGTCTGAGCACTTGATTTATTCCATTCTTTTAATAATCCAAAAAGCCTCGATTTTTACAGGCTCAAGCTATTATGCTATTGGCCGGTAATGGGCCTCCGGCGACACCCAATACAACACCGCCTCCCCCTCTTCCTCCGGTCCAAAAATCCATTCCAATGCTTAATGTTGTTGACAGATTTGTCATGGGCCAGCCTTACAGCCCGCCACCAAATCGCTCAAGCCCAGCTCCTGTTAACCCAATTAGTGTTGCAAGGCCTGTTGTTCGACCCATTAGTGTGAACAATGATGCTAGTGTTGCAAGGCCTGTTGTTCGACCCATTAGTGTGAACAATGATGCTAGTGTTGCGAGGCCTGTTGTTCGACCCATTAGTGTGAACAATGATGCTAGTGTTGCAAGGCCCGTTGTTCGACCCATTAGTGTCAACAATGATGCTACTGCTGCAAGGCCTGTTTTTCGACCCATTAGTGTCAACAATGATGCCAGTGTGGCAAAGCCATCACCTGTAACTATAGTACCTTCTTCGCCAAATCCCGAGCCTGTGAAAGTAGTTAATTCACTACCATCCATTGCTTCAACTACCATTTCACCAGGTTCTTTTTTAAAATTTTTAATATATTCTAATCATCTTTTCTTATATTAAGTACTTACTATTTTATCATTATTTTCAGACGCCGTGCCTCAGTTTCGCCGAAAATCATTGGCTCGGTTTTTGGAAAAGCGCAAAGAAAGGTAATTATATTATTTCTTGCAGTAATGAAAATTCCCTATCGTTTAGTTGCATCAATACGATTGAGTACCATTTTTTAATTCTTGATTCAATAAAATGAGTTGATAAATAAATTTTTTGTGGTCTGATCTTAATTTCTAGCTCAAGTTCGCGAATCCTGCAGAATTTTGATGCTCACTTGCTTATCATTTTTTTCTTTCGTTTTGCTCGATTTTTAGTATTTTAAGAAATTGCACGTTTTCTCTATTCTAGGGTGGTTTGTGCAAGTCCTTACGGTGAGAAGCCAGATTGCAGTAAACCTGGAGCTGGACAGCATAAGTTGTGAACTAAATACAATGATAGTTTAGTAGAAACTCTTGTTTTCTTCATCTCTTTTTATTTTTTTTTTTTAAACAAAATTTCCAGTCTCTAATGTAAATACATTGTATTCTTGACTTGTAATGCGTTGGAGCCAAATTTTGGTTATGCTGAACTGATTTACATTGCTAAGGATGGGCACTTAACACATTCAAATTCAATGAGCCATGCTCGTGGGCTTTTACGAGCCTGAAGCCCGCCCCGACTCATTTACCCTTACACTATATACGGGCCGGGATGGTTTGGCCCGTAGCCCATACTATTCTCTTCTTTTTCTAATTTTCTTTTAATTAGGGACAAATTAAGCAAATGGAAAAGATTTTCTTGACAAATTACAAAAAGCTATATATAGTCGAGAGAGATTCAACTTTACTAGTGGTATCGTGCGATGCACGGGCTAGTTTTATTATATATAGATGACTGCGTCGACGTTATTTAGGTTAGACAGAAAATGGCTACTCATAAGAGCGAAGGAAAATCAGGAATGGACGCGAAAGATATCGAAGAATTTAAAGCCTTCTTGGACTATTGCAAACAAAACCCTTCTGTTTTACACACTCCAGCTCTTGCCTTTTTCAAGAATTTTCTCCAAAAGTATCTCTCTCTCTCTCCCTCTCTCCCCCTCTCTCTCTCTCTCTCTTTGTGTGTGTGTACTTGATTATATGTCCTTTTGATTATTTGGGTTTTGTTTCTTCGTTCCAGGCTGGGTGCTCGAGTTCCAGAGTCGGGAAAAATGGTAAGCCTTTTGTGAGCAGCCATTTATATCGTTTCTGTTTGCGGAATTGGCTATGGATCAATTTAGCCATGTGGGCTTGTGATAAAATTCTCTATGTGCATCTCTAGTTATCTGGTGTTTGTGGATTGGACTATGGATCAATTAAGCCATCTAGGTTGTAATTAAATTCTCTATGTGCGTCTGTAATTTTCTGGTGTTTAGCTGAATTTGGCTATGGATCAGTTAAGCCATGTGGGCTTATAATTAAATTCTCTATGTGCATATGTAATTGTCTGTTTCAGGTCAAGGTTTTGATTTTTTATTGGATTGGAGATGTTAAGCTGTATGAATGGTTATTAACCTAGTTTTTCTGCAGTTGATTTTTTAGAATTTGATGTTGCATTGTTTACTTGTTTAGCCATAGGCTCAGGAAGTGTGTTTTTGCGTGCATTTGCATGCGCGTTTTTCATTCTCTGAAGTCCGACCTACTCTCAATAACACTTGTCCAAGCTGTTAGTGATTTTCTTCAAGTCGATACCACTTGGTTATTACTGCTATCTATACGTATACTCTTTTTTAGAGCTTTGGTTTTGAGATTCTTGTGATACCTACCACATTTACGAGCATGGGGTTTTGGTTGCGTGTGATAATTGAGAAATTGATCTGCATGTTAATTGGCAAAATCATGTTCATAACTTAGAACTCTTGTGAGTCTCTTTATATGTTTTCATTTTTCCTTTAATTTCCTTTCCTTTTCGTTTTTCCATTTTTTTTGGTATGCCGAAAAGATTTTATTGACTCCCCAAATTGGAAAGACGTTACCTAAAATTTGTTTGGGAAGGAATTGAAAATTTTTATGAAGTCACCAAGAGAGGAATGGTTCGATCCTCTCACAATGATTATATCAAGATATTCTAATTTTATCCACCTTTATTACCACTCAAGCCATTTCAGTAATCCAATCTTCATGGTATAGTAAAATTTTAAAACCGGTAGATGTAAAATGTTCCTTTTTCCTGAAAGAACATCCCACTTACTCCTTTTACGTGTATCCAGTTATTTGGTAAAAGAATTCAATACTTCCTTATGCAGTTCTATATTAAGAAGTGTACAACTTGATTTCTTTGATTCCCACAGTTGACCGCATAATCTGATGCAGGGTAAAAATGGAGAGGGCAATCAAGATGCTGAGGAATTTGAATCTAAAAAGCCAAATGTATTGGGTGGTGATGTCTCAAATGATGACATTATCGAATCTGATATTGAGTTGGATAAGTCTGATGTTGTTGAGCCTGACAATGATCCTCCCCAAAAGGTGGGTGGTGGCCGATTTTTATTTTTTATTCTCTTAATAAAAGCACATACTCGTATTTGCCTCTTTAATGTTTTTATTAACCTTTTATGGCAGATGGGCGACCCTTCACTTGAAGTGACTGAAGATAATCAAGAAGCTGCTCAGCTATTGAAAGCAAAAGCTATTAATGCAATGGCTGATGGTACATACCTTCTGGAATTTCTCATGACTTATATACATTAATGCTCGGTAGGACTAGTGAAAAAAATATATGTCGTTGATATTTAGATTTTAGGCTAATTACTTGAAAAAAGAAAGAAGAAGAAGAAGAAAAACCACTGATCTTTCAAAATGTCCAGTGTTCTCTCTTACAATCTTGAAGATAAATGGAGCTATTCATAATTAAACCAAATCTGAGAGGAAGCTTTGTGGTTATCACATAGTTTGTTTATTAAAAAAGAAAAAGAAAAAGTAAGACCTTCCAACGTATGGATTTCAGGTAAGCTTGATGAAGCCATAGATCATCTTACAGAAGCAGTATTGTTGAATCCAAAGTCGGCGATATTATATGCAAATAGAGGTAGTTATCAAACATCAGAACCACTTGAATTCATTCAGATAATTATTATTACCTTTAATTCATTAGACACACTTGTATTGCTCTAAAATGTTTTAATGCAGCTAATGCCTTTGTCAAACTAAACAAACCAAATGCTGCAATCCGAGATGCTGATGCAGCTTTGCAGGTATATGTGAATTTTCTACTTACACAGCAGGTTTAAGGGAGGTCATTTACTGATGTATGTTTAATCGCGAAAGCTCATTTGGCCAAATTAGAAAAGAACCGAGCTTAACTTTTTTAAATTACAGAACCACCGTTGAAATTACATCTATTTTGATTTCCCAGCTGTCCAGTGGAGCTAATGGAAATTTTTGGTTCATATTTTAAAAACTATATCACTTAATTCTACTTGGTAATGCAAATAACTCCTTTGCTTTTACAATTTTGGTGAATAATGAAAATGGCCAGCGAAAACATGGGGATATTCGTACTATTTTGAATAGTATAGTGATCGACTTCAGCAATTCCATAGAATCAACATGGAAAACCAAACCTCAAGGCAGTTTTCAGTAAATTAAAAAAATAAAAATGTTTGGGTGCGTATGAATACCCACCTTTTGCAATTTTCCCAATAATAATTATTAATATATGAGCGCTGCCTTGTTAGATCAACCCTGACTTAGCAAAAGGATATAAAGCCCGGGGAATGGCTAGGGCTATGTTGGGCTTATGGGAAGAGGCCGTTTCTGATTTGCATGTAGCTTCGAGATTGGATTTCGATGAGGAGACTGGCTTGATCCTCAAGAAAGTAATTTTACTCAACACTTGAGATTTTATGGGCTCAAATTTGTCTTTTGGCAGGCTTTGCTTTGCATTATGAATTTCAACATGCAAGTGTTTGAAAATTGAGACGCTTTAGTAAATTAGCTCGCAACTACTCAGGTTGAACCTAATGCAAAGAAAATTGAAGAGCACCGCCGAAAGTACGAACTCCTCAGGAAAGAGAAGGAGCTGAAAAAAATCGAGCTCGAAAAGAAGAGGCAACAAGTTAAGACCGTTGTATTTTTATTATTGATAGGGTTCGCTTTGTTGTAATAAAATCCTGATTCATTATTGCCAAGTTACTCCTATATAGTAGGATTTGACCTTTATTCTCTTTCATCAAATCTTTTCCTTGTTAGACATAATAAATTTTTGTTAGTTTTAGTTTTACTTTAAGGTTCCAGATGAATAATTTACTGTTTTTTTTTTGTTTGGATGCAGGTTGCTGAAGCTGCCGCTACCTTCAAAGATGGTATGTTTATTTAATTTGTCTAATTTAGCGAATAATAGATATGCAAGGAGAAAAGTAAAATGAAAAACTTGCAATAAAGTATTTGTCCATCATCAATCAATCCATAGGTGCTTCATAACTGCATAATTTATTTTCTCACTTCAATACCTTCTCCGCACTCAAGTATATCAATCCTTCGGAGTTAAAGATGCTCTTTATTTTAACTTTTTTTATTATCTGATTATGAAAAGAGAAAAAAATAAATAAATTAGCGATGTTTCAGAGTTACAAAAAGTTCTAGTATGTTTGTATTTACGCAATTCAGAGCATCTAAAGCCTGAGGACACTTTCGTATTTAAAGGACAAAAGGATTTATTTGTGATAATGTTAAAATCCATGGAGAAATTTGCACTTATCTCGTTTATTAAGTGGTCAATTTCCTTTATTTACCACATCCAAGACCGTGCTAGTTTATACCATATTTCTCTCATCTTTACAGGGGAAATAATCGAGCTCGATTCTCGCAAAGATTTAGAAGAAAAGCTGAGCGCGGCAAAAAAGGCTTCAAGGCTGGCAATCATCTATTTCACTGCCAAATGGTGCGGGCCATGCCGTTATGTTTCTCCAGAATTAACTAGCTTAGCCCAAAAATATCCGAAAGTTGTGTTTTTAAAAGTCGATATAGACAAGTCATCTGATGCAGCTATTGCATGGAATGTTAGCAGCATTCCCAGCTTCTTCTATGTTAAAAACGGTAAAGAGGTCGATAAATATGTGGGGGTCGATAAGAACACAGTCGAGATGAAGATTGCACAACATGCCAGCTAGTCTCGAACACTTCTTTTTCTTCTCCGGATCCAGTGTGTGCTTTATTTCTTGTTGTGGTGTTTAGGAAAAAGGCTAACTAATGGAGGTTTTTCATGTAATGAGAACATATATAGTGTTCATGTCCTAATTCTCTGGTGACTGGAGATTAATCTTCAAAACAGTTGATTGAACATGTTATAAACTTTGGGCCAACAATAGTGTTTGAAATTATTGTGTGATTATTTTATTCCAGATGTGAGTTTATATGTCTATTAAATCAATGATATGACAGGAGATTAACATACCATACTAGTGAGAGTGATTGAAATATCACGAGATCTTGACATGTGGCAGGTGGGCTCGTCTCAATGTGTTCACCTGGGCTCGTCTCAATGTGTTCACCGTGGTAGGTGAAAAATTCCAAACCATTCTATTTAGATACATATCTTGAAAACTTAAATCATTCCATTACAAAATGGGAAATTGTTTCCACTAATTTCTCTTAAATTAGATATGTAATAATGGAATTTTCATTTCTGAAGAAATTGGGGATTGTACTTGGATCTATGACTGCAAACGAACCGAGCAGTTCGCGAGCCATTTGCGAGCGCTTGAGTCGATCTCGAGCATAGGTTTTGGAAGGTCGAGCCTCTCGCGATCGGCTCAAGATATGTAGTAAATTACCAAAATTCCCTTTATATATAAATACTACAATATTTTATATATGCATTTAATGGTAATTTTACTTGAAATTTGAGTTGAGCTCGAACTGAAATTGAGCAATATTTCGAGTATTTTGATTTCAATTGATCTCGAGCCGAGCTCGAGCGATTGTCTTCTTTGTTCGAGTCGATCTCGAGTGTCATAAATCGAGCTCGAGCTCGAGCATGTATAAAAAAATCAATCTTACTCGATAAGACTAATGCTCGACTCGCCTAAGCTCGTTTGCAATTGGATCACCTGAAATGGATTTTATAGGTTATACATCTCATTTCCATGTACATATCAATACTTCATATACAATAAAATTGCAATTGTGCCTATAAAGTTTTGATATTGGGAGAATTGAACAAATTGAGAAAGAAAACTAAGAAAACCAGAAAAAGAAAGAAAGAGAGAGAGAGAACTACTTGCCCTGATACGATGTCGTACTCATAAGGCGGCATTTTTGTTTTAAAAGTTGGTTGGTTTAGTTCAAGAATGGGTCCATAAAACTCTTCCCTCTCAACTTGTCTCTGGTTTATTCTACACATTCTTGATTTGTGGAGCATTTAAAAGAACATGCTGATTAGTCGAACATTTCTCTTCATATTTTGTCTCCGACTGAACAAATAGTGTATGGCTTCGTCGATCAAGGTACCGTTGTAACCATTTTTGAACTTCATCATTTCTTCCTTATGTGTTCAATTTTCTCTAAATGCAGCAGAATCTCAATTGGATTGTGAATCTTATTGAATTATAATTGAGATGCCTCGATTTTCCCATTTATGTTCGAATCTACACACATTTTGTTCTCGTCCGGGTTGGGTATTTCGGGGATTTTATGTGCATTTTTGGGTTTAGGTTTTTGTAGCATTGCTTTTAAGAGCCTTGATTGAGTCGACACTTTCCGCCGCTGCCTGTGGTTACGAGCATTCGTGCTAAAACCGCGTTAAATTTTCAGAGTATGGTTTGTTTTTCCTTACCAGCATATAATTATTGCTTTTTAAACATTTTTTGTTGTTATATTTATCAATGAACACCGATTTAGGCCCCAAACGACACGATCCGTCTGGATCAGAAGCCGACGGATCTAAAAAAGCTGAGATGAGTGGATATTATCCTATTTTGGATGGTCCAATTTCTGATGAAATTGATGAGTCTGATGTTGAGTTGGACGATTCGGATGTGGTGGCGCCTGATAATGATCCTCCTGTAGAGGCGAGTATTTGAGAAAACCAAATTTTAATTCATATGGTTTTTATTTCCTTTAAACAGAAAATATTCTTTTTTTTTCTCTCCTTTTCTTGTTAGATGGGAGATCCTACTGTTTCTGTGACTGTCGAAAATCAAGAATCCGCTCAAAGATCAAAATTAAGGGCCATGAAAGCCGTTTCTGTAGGTAGGTGCATTTTTTGGAAGCGTTAACTCGTTTTAAAATTATATAGATCTGTTTTGTGAATCATATGCATGTACCAGGTGAGCTCGACAAAGCCATAGATCTTCTAACCGAAGCAATCAAATTGAATCCAAGTTCGGCTGTGTTATTCTCAAGCAGAGGTATTTATTTCTTTTAACATGTTTGAAATCTTAGAAGATGAAGATTTTAAGTATTCTACATTTTGGCCCTCTTGGAAAAAAAAAATATAATAATAATAAAAATCTCTTTCTTCAGCTGCTGTCTTTGTAAAACTGAAAAAACCAAATGCTGCAATTCGAGATGCTGGAGCTGCGTTAAAGGTGCTGTCTTTGGGGCATTCGGGATTTAAATTCTAAGAATTTAATCTATTCTGAAAGTTACGGAAATTTTTGTTTTTGTGACTTTTGTCCAATGGCACGATAGATTAATCCCGATTTAGCAAAAGGATACAAAGCACGAGGTATGGCAAGGGCACTGTTGGGCTTATGGGAAGAAGCAGATACTGATTTGGATATGGTTTTAAAGTTAGATTTTGACGAGGAGACTAGTGAGATATCCGAAAAGGTACATTAGAATCGAGTTGAAGTGCCATTACTAATGACTATTTGGCCTGTAAGATCTTTGCTTGTAACGAAAAATTAAGTTGCCTAATACATTTTCAGGTTAAACTAAATGTTGCAAAAATTGCCGTGCATCGTGAGAAATACGAACGTATTAGGATGCAACAACGCAAGGTATATAGAAAAACTTTATAGTCATTATTCGTATCTAACTGCAAATCTACCATCCTTTTTTCACCTTTTGAGTAATTATTCCATTTTAAATTGTTGTAGAAAGGAGAAAACACTGGTGCAACACTGAAGAACGGTACGAAAATTCTGCTTTGTAATTCTCGCTGACTAACTATTACACTTTTAAGTTACGGAAAAATTGTTTTTGCAGGAGAAGTGATTAGGATCCAAAATGCCGAAGATTTGGATGCTTATCTGGAAGTTGCTTTAGAATTATCTCGTCTAGCCGTTGTTTACTTCACTGCAGTGTGGTGTGGGCCTTGTCGATACATTGGCCCAGCATGTGAAAGATTGGCTTCGAAATTTCGGAATGTTATGTTCTTGAAAGTTGATGTTAATGAGGCTAAGGGAGTGGCTGCAGAGTGGAATGTTGGAAGTATTCCGAGCTTTCATTTGTGGGAATGTGGTGTGACTGTTGATCAGGTCACTGACTGCAATATGTACTCGCTCGAAAAGAAAATCGCACAGTATAGCGCGTGATGAATAGTATCTACTCGTGCGTAAAGCTTTCGACTTTTTTGTGGGATTTTGAATAAGAACTGTTGTGACAGTTGTTTTTATGTGGGATGCTTTTCTATTTATTACATGTAATTTTTCAGGACAATGCTTAATCAATCAATCAACTTCTGTGAGAATGGCCTTTTGTAGTAATAGATAGCTATTTATGTGAATACTTGAGAAAGAAATGAACTTTGAAAGGTAAAAATTGAGACTTTGTAACTTGGATATGATTCTTGAGAAAGAAATGAACTTTGAAAGGTAAAAATCGAGACTTTGTAAACTTGGATATGCCAATGAATCAATAATATGCTTTGTCAATTGTTGAAAAAAAAAATTGGTCAAGAATACCCCCTGCAAAATTTTCNAGAAAAAGAAAGAGGAAAATTTTGTTTTTGTTTCAATGTTTCACTGTTGTGAAGCTAAAACATGAGGATAAACTTTGGGGGCCCAAACAAAATCAAGAACCATTGAAATTTCAGCCAATAACACATATATTGGCAGTGCCCAGCAAAGAAAACAAAAGGGCCAACATAAAAAATAAAATAAAATAAAATTTAGAAAACAAGAAATTGCAATGGCTGCAAACGCCATATCCCCTCCACCACTCACAACGTCATCTTCATCTGCATCATCAAAAAACCTCTTTTTTCCTAAAAAGATTCATTTTTTATCATCTTCAAGCTCCAAACTCCAGGGAGGTAAGAAATTATGCGGCATAACACTAGGGAAGGAAAATTTAGGGGGTGCTCGGGGATTTGGTGTGGTTAGGTGCATGTCATCTGGTGCACCCGCAGTCCTTCCCAAAGCCCTTTTGTTCGATTGCGACGGTGTATTGGTCGATACTGAGAAAGATGGACATCGCATTTCTTTCAATGACACTTTTGCTGAGGTTCTTTGTTCTTACAGTACCTATTTACGACCTCTGTTTTCTTCAAGGAAAAAATGAACTTGTCTATTAGCTAGCTAGCTTCCAAATTTTCGCCATTGTGAAATGGGTTTGTTCTGGGTTTTGATCATTGACTATGAAGTAGTTGTTTCTTGCCATTTGTGAGTTTTACCTGTCTGTTAATTTTAATTAAAATTCGAGATTGAGATTCTTTCAATTAACTTATATGCTCTCTGCTTTGTTGGTTTTCCTTGTGCCTAAATCAGGTGGAGTAATTTTTTTTATTTTTTTTTTCGTTTTCATTTTATTTAAAGGAATGAAGTGTGAGGTTAATAAGAAAATGAACATTAGTTCTTAACTAAATGAATGGCCTTTCTTGAAATGGTAGCGTGTGCCTGTGTAGTGAAAGCTGGGCAGATTGATCCTAACTAGCTCCTCAAGTGTGTGCCTTTTGTGTATCCGTAAATATGTTTTAATTTTAAACCTTTTATCTTTAGCGGGCTAAAATTAATCCTCGGGAAAAAAATTGAATGTCTTGAATCCTTTAATCGTGTAGAAAGAGCTGGGAGTCACATGGGACGTTGATTTGTATGGTGAATTGCTCAAAATTGGGGGAGGAAAAGAAAGGTGCATACATTCACGAATAGGTGTTTTGTACTATTATTCAATTTCTCTTGTACATAAGCAAAATCGACACCATTTTCCAGAAAAAAAAAAAGAAAAATAAAAATTAGTTTTGTTTGTTTTGGTGGGACTTCAGGATGACGGCCTACTTTAACAAGGTAGGCTGGCCCGAAAAGGCCCCAAAAGGTGACCAAGAAAGAAAGGAATTTATAGCATCTCTGCACAAGCGAAAGACCGAACTTTTCATGGTACTTATCGAGAAAAAGTTGTTGCCTCTTAGACCTGGTGTGGCCAAGTAAGCTGCTGTTTTGTTCTTATGGCCAAATTTATCACGTTTTAAACACTTCTTTTGTTAAAAAAAGCCATTGTGCCTAGAGTTCAACACATTTTGGAAAAAAAAAATAAAAATGCACTAATAGCATATACTTGACTACTAAACAGGCTAATAGATCAAGCTTTAGGCAATGGGGTCAAAGTTGCTGTGTGCAGCACGTCAAATGAGAAGGCGGTATGCATCATCAGGTTCTAAGTTTTATGTTGTATCTTTACAAAACTTTGACCAGTTGAATGGATTTGATATCATTTGCAGTGAAGCCATCTAATCTGTTCTCTTTGGAAGGTTATGAAAATAGATTTGTGTGTTTTCATTTGTTGCTATTATCTGAAATGACTCGATTAAACTTTCTGGAATTTGTGATTTTGCAAGCATACCTTCGTGCGCTATATTACGTGCTACTTAGATTGAAAAAAGCCTTTTTCGGTGAGCTTTCAGGTCTCGGCTGTAGTTTCTTTCTTATTAGGGCCTAAACGAGCAGAAAAGATACAGATATTTGCTGGTGATGTGGTTCCCAAAAAGAAGCCTGATCCAGTAAGCTCCTCATGCATTGCACATGATAAATGATGCACAAGATCACTTGAAAAAGGAAAGTGATAAACTAGCTTGGGGCTTAAACAATGTAATTTTATAGCATTTTAAAGTCTCTGTGAGAATTACGCTAATCGGAATCTCCTAAGGTTGCTTTCAGACCTCTCATTTGACTTCTGGTTTGTTTACTTGTACAAACAAGCTAACACTTTTACATCTTATACACCGGTCTCTTTTAATTAACTCAGCTCACGTTATATGTTCTTGAATGTTATTTGTATTCATTAACTTGTGATTTTGATCATGGCAGGCTATTTATCTGTTAGCTGCAGAAACACTTGGAGTCGACCCATCAAGGTAGCTAACAAACTTATCACAAGTACAACATGATATTTTTTTTACGATTTTATGTGAAACCTTTATGCAACCGATTTTACCGAGTTATGCAAAACCTTTTAAGTTGGTTATTTTTTGTAAAATTTTTTGTTCGTTTTTTCCTTTTTGCTTTCTAGTTGTGTTGTTGTGGAAGACAGTGCAATTGGCTTAGCAGCTGCAAAATCTGCAGGCATGAAGTGTATAGTAACAAAGAGTGGGTAAGTATATATATACTTCCCGGTATCTCATTAGGAATTTCTTTCTGTGAAAATCAGTTAAAGCCCCAAAATTCACCTAGAAATTCGTCTTGCTTAATATAATCCCTAAAGTTCAATCAAATTATAGAAATACTTTGAGAGTACCCTTCAAAGTTTTTGTTCCCGTTTCACAAAATGCATGTCCAAAATTTTCGTTCCTTCAAAATTCATCAATACATTTCACACGGAATTTTCAGGTACACGGGAGACGAGGATTTTGTAAACGCGGATGCAGTTTTCGACTGCATTGGAGACCCGCCTGAAGAAAGGTTCGATCTGGCTTTCTGCGGGACCCTTCTAGAGAAACAATTTGTTAGCTAAATGTGTTGCACACTTGAACAAAACAAAACACCACACTTTTTTCAAGAGGCCTTTTTTCACTCTCATAATACATAAATATGCTTCATTCAGACTGGCTTGTTTATTTCACATGTATTATAGAGCAAAAAAGTGTTTTTTTTTTTTTTTATCTGTGAGATAAACAGATGATACCTTACTCTTCAAAGGGTTCTCTATTTGAATTAGNAGAAAAATAGGTTGATGTCCGACCAAGAAAATTGATAGCACATGGACCACCTTGAGTAATGGTAATATGGTATAACTATTGCGTTGACATTATTAAATGTGGAACTTGACATGGATAGACATAAATTAGTCTTTCCAAATTCCAAGTATTACGAAAATAGACAACTCAAAAAACACAAATGTGAGATAATTTAACCATTAGCGGATTGTCACGTTATATTATTTTAAAAAAAAAATACATACTTATATTATTAAATATCATATTTGGATTTATGTTGTATTTTAAAATATGAAAGGAAGTTTATACATTTGTATAAAGATTATGTCGGCCTAACAGAAGACCAACCATTTAAAATAAATAAGGCCAATTAAACATTTGCATTGATTAAAATTCTTCACAAATTAACATGAAATGCAATTGTACACAAGCTATATATATTCCCATTTCATATGCTATGCACTGAATTGCATAACTAATTTAAATTCTGATAAATATAACAACGAAAATAAGTGCAAAACATAACTGATGTAGAATAATTATGATTACTATTATTATTATATTATTATTATTATTAGTGGCTAGTTTGGAGAACAAGTTAGGATTATTAGTTTTGAAAGTCTTATATAAATGACTCTTCTGCTTTATTGTTATTTGGTTGATTATTGAATGAAAATAAGATAGAGAGTATCTCGTTTATCCTTCTTACTCGTACGTTTTCCTACATCAGTTGGTATCAGAAGTCAGCACGATTCACGATGCTGTCGCGACGACAAGATGCTGCAAACGACAGGCGTGTCGCCGCCATCTACAACCTGAGCCGCTGGACCGAGTGGTTTGGCCATCAGCTCGAAACGATGGGTCGTGAGATTGCAGATCTGTCCGCGGAGATCGGGGACATACGTCTAACTATCCGTGCCATGGTTCGAGACAAGCCAACGTACCGTGACGCCGACAACCGGAGCGTGCGCGGGGGAATTTGCGGAGGACGTGGAGGCCGTGGTCCAAGCGGGGCGCCCCGCCGAAGATCTCCGCAACCACCGTCCGGCGACAAACTATTATCAACCTCCGCACGTTGAGGCTGAGCTATTGCCGCGCACGACGGCCAAGATGTGCTGCACCAAGGTGCAATTTTTGAGGAAGATGACGACCAACAACGTGGAGGTGGCGATGACCATCGATGGGAGGGCCCGTTTCGCGTGGACATCCCCAAATTCGACGGCGAGCCAGATGACGGACCATTGTGCATGCTAGGGATAGAGAATGTGTATGCTAGGGGCGTAGGTCCTGCTCCAATCCTAGGCGAGGATTTTTCACTTCACAAGTTGGTAGGTGCAATTATTTGTATGCTACATCCTGAGGTTAAGCAAAGTGTCATTGAATTGGCAAAAGCAATGGAAGATGACGATGGTATGATTCTGACAAGTCATGACAAGTACTTTCAAGTTATTGACCATTCGGGTAGTGTTGAATTTTTTAGTTTTGTGATGCCCGAGGGTGTTTGGTTTGGAAGTAGGGGTTGTGGGTCGGCTAGAGTGGACGTTGGGAGACATTCAACCTTCGTGGTCGATAGGGGAAAACAGGTCGGACGATTATTGCCAGGGGTATAACTTCGGTGTCGGCACGTTTGGTGCGGCTTCGAGGGCGACCTGTCATGAGGACGTCTCCAAGGGGAACGGGTTGGATGAGAGCGAATCCTACTCAAACGGGAGAGAATGGTGTAGAATTATTATTATTATTATTATTATTAGTGGTTAACTTGGAGAATAAGCTAGGATTTATTTTGAGGGCATTATTTAAATGTCTCTTCTGCTTTGTTATGAGATGGTGAATTTTGAGAATAAATCTGATATTGTGAATTTTATGTATTTTACGAAAGATTATCTCGTTTATACTTCCCACTCGTAGCGCTCTCCTACATGAATAACCAACTAAACTATATCAAAATGTGGGCCTAATCTATCAATTATTAAGCATTATAATGTTTTGCTGTCTCGACCCTTTTTAAGTGGAGTGACTAAATCAGCAGTCAAAATTGCCACCCCTTTGTGGGCAATGTAGTGGTCCCTTTGAACAATTTATTTAATAATATTCTATATGTTGGAGAAAGCCGTTAAACGTCCATTCTTGTGAATTTTGTGTGATTGTTTATAAATTATTTCTCTTGGCCAATTTGAAAAACCGGGCCCACCCGATACAGTTCTTGTTCCCCATTAATATTTGTGAGCTGTATTATTAAATTGAAGTAACATTTCTGATAAAAGCAACACCTACCCTTCTCGTTCTTCGAACACATGAAGTTATGAACACCCCTTCCTCAATAAATCAACCTTCAACCCCGACATGAGCTCCGCTGCAAATCCTTCTCTTCCCACTTCGATACAACCTTTTCGTTTGCCGCAAGCTTCGCTGGAGAGGCGGGATCCGCACAGCGAAAGCACCGGCAGCGTGTCGGTGAACTCGCCCGAGAAAAAAAAGAAAAAAAGAAGAAAGGTTAGATCGGTTTACATGTGTTCTTCCCGCATCCTTTTGTTCAATAACATACACAAGTCGGTGAATTTTCCCTAGATTTACTCGAATAAATATTTTGTATATGCGATTTGGTTTATTTGGGAACGGCTAATTAAAAAATAGGGGTTACATATCGTACAACTTGGGCACCGATAATTTGTGTTTCGCGTGCCATCTCTTATGACTCTTTCGTAATTATTTGAAGGCGAACTGGTTAATTTTATCAATTTCCCTTATTTTGAGACGAAATGTGCCGGGTTGTGCTGTGTTCATGAAGTAGATTTTGAAGGGGCGAACTGCGTGCATTTGTATTCCTGTGCTACTGTCTCGTTCAACTTGTTTTGTTTGGGGTGACATGTCTGATTTGAATTTTGCTGCTGGTGTCTTGCTCAATTTTATTTGTATGCTGACCTTTTGTTCGATTTATATTTGTGGTGTGTTCATGTTACACTCTAATAATGTTTGGATTTAAACAATACAATCTTGGAGCTGTATTTCGTGAAAAATTTGTAGATGTCCACATCTGAAGCTGGCCCTTCGCAAAGTAAACAAGGAGAAGCCAGGTGGCCTCCAGAGAATGAGGCTCGGTTCATATCGTTGATGTTGGACCAAGTTATCCTGGGGAAGTGCATCGGGCAGAAGTTCAAACAATGCAATTGGATGGAGATCCAAGAAAAACTGAACGATATATGTGGTCCTGAGTATTATTACGAGATAACACAAATGACGAGTAAACATGATCGATTAAAGCAGCATTGGCGTCGGTTCTACAATATGCTTAATAAAGATACGGGATTCGGATGGGAATCTTCCACTGGGAAGATCACAGGCGGTGACGAACTTTGGGCCCAGTGGATCACGGTTAGTGTACTTGTTCCATTTATTTTCCCAGTTTTTAAGGTTAAGTGTGCTTTATGAAGGTTTGTATTTTCCAAATGGGTGTTTTTTTCCCAGTTTCTATGGAAAAAGTGTTTTTTTTTTTTTTCTTT